TGTGGATGTAATACAGGGAAGGTGCTTTGTGTGGATATGTAATCAAAGAGGCAGTGGGGCCAGGGATTTGGGAGGTGACAAGGTCCAAACTGACAGGATCCCGAGCCCAGAAAAGGACCTTGGGTTGTGAGGGTTTCTACTTTCTCTTTCTTCCATCTCTGTATCCTTGCATGAGTACAACTCTCTTTTGGGCTTCTTTCTGTGGGTGTACATGTTCATGCACTTGTACATGTGGAAGTCAGAAGACAAGCTCAAAGGTCATGGGGTTTGTCTGCTTGCATATGGATCTGAGCCCTCAAGCACCTGTCAGTGTCCAGGTTCTTGTGTCCCACAGCAAAGACTTAGACCAAGGACACATGGTTAGAAATGAGGACAGAGACCGTTTATTGAAAAGAAGAGAACATTCTTGTGAGTGGGAGTGGATTAGTGAGCTGAGAGAAAGCCCAAAACGGAGGGAGCCCTGAACCAAACGGCACCTGTTCCATCCATTTTAGGTAATCCAGATGTTCCTTGAACAGGTTAGTCTCCTGTCACAGTTCTACCTTTTGCTGAGGCAGGGTCTCTCATTAGCCTGTGATTTTGGCAAATAAGCTAAACTAGACATCCAACAAGCTTCCAGGGATCCACTTATCTCCTCCTACCTTGCTGTTGCTAGGGTACAGGTACAGGCTGCACCACATTGGGCTTTTTCCATGAGTTTTAAGGATGGAGCTCTTATCCTTACATTTGTGAGGCAAGTGATTTTGCCAAATGAGTCACCTCTGAAGCATGTGTTTGCTTAAAAATAACAATACTTCTGTTACTTTTGTTTACTTTTGCGTATGTGTACACACATGCGCAATGGCACATATATGGAGGTCAGAGTGTGGGTCTTGGGTAACAAACTTGGGCTTGCCTGCAAGCCTCTTTAACTTCTGAGCTATCTCACTGGCCCACTCAAGACAAGGTATTTCTCTGTGGCCCAGACTGGCCTGGAACTCCCTATGTATCCTAGGCTAGTTTCAAGTCAGTGGCAACTGATTAGCCTGCACAGCATGAGGAGTTGGAATTACAAGTATGTACTACCTCATCCAGCTGGTTACAACTCCTGAAAGCTCAACCTCTTGCTTCTTGCCACACCTTACTTAGACAATCCTCTGAATTCCAGGAAGAGAGAAATTACTCACATGTGTGTAGCCATGTGTTTGCCGTGTGTGTGCGTGTGTGTGTGTGTGTGTGTGTGTGTGTGTGTGTGTGTGTGTGTAAGCTGGAGTGACAGGCCATAGGGAGCAGTTCTGGGAGTGGCTCTGGATCATCAAGGCAGAAAGTACCACAGGTAGATGATACTCAGCCAACAGATTCGATAACATTGGACCCTCAGGCACAGGGAGAGCTCATCGGAAGGTCACAAGAATACCATACTCAACTTAGGGTGAGGGGCGAGAAAAATGACAGTGAACTAGTTAAGACTTGTGAGCCAAGTCAACAAGAAGACATCTTCCTTGCGCTAAGGCCTGGGAGATGGCTAAGTGGGCAAAAGTGCTTGCTTGGCAAACCTGGAGATCTGAGTTTGATCCCGGGAACCCACATGAAAGTGGGAGGAGAGAACCCGCTCCACAAAGTTGGCTTCTGGTCTTTGGCTTTCACTTGTGGTATGAGCTATCTGCCCCCCTCCCAATATATTAGATTTAAGGGCTGAGACTAACAGTTCAGTTGGACAATGCTTGCTTAGCATACATGGAACTCTGGGTTTGATCCTTACTACCTCATAAAATATGTATGATGCTACACACTTCTTTTGCTTTTCTTTTTTGTTTGTTTTGTATTGTTTTGTTTTTTGTTGTTGTTTTTTTGAGACAGGATTTTTTTGTTTACAGTCCTGCCTGTCCTGGAACTCGATTTGTAGACCAGGCTGGCCTCAAACTCACAAAGATCCACCTGCCTCTGCCTTCCAAGTGCTGGGATCAAAGGTGTGTGCCACCATCACCCAATGGTACACACTTTCTCATCCAAGCACTTGGAAGGTGGGTGTAGGAGGAGCATAAATTCAAAGTCATTCTTGGATTCAAATGGAGTCTCAGGCTACCCCCAGCTACTTGAGACTTTATCTCAAAAACAAACACTTCTCAGAACTCTCAAGATAGTTCCCCCACTCCAAACAGCATCCTGCTTGCCATCCCAACTGCTCCAGATGTACCAAGTACTTCTCATTACGCAACTACATCCTTATCTCAAAATGCTGCCTGCTTTCTTTCTTTTCTTTTCCCATCCTTCTCTTCCTCCTGCTTTTCTTGGTAGGCTGGACACAAACTTGTGATCCTCCTGTCTCAACCGAGTTAAAAAAGATACCAAAATTGTCTGTTTGTCTATCTATCTATGTCTGTCTGTCTATCTATCTATGTCTGTCTGTCTATCTATCATCTAGTGTGTGTGTGTGTGTGTGTGTGTGTGTGTGTGTGTGTGTGTACAACTTGAAGGAGTTGTTCTTCTCCCATGTTGGTCCTGGTGGGGGGCGTCTAACTCAGGCTCTCAGGGCTTAGCTACAAGAGTTCTTATCTGCTAGCCATTCTCTGTTTTTATTAGCCTTTAGTATTCTTCTCTACCTAGAGCCATAGCCATTCAGTGGAAGCAGTTCCTGTCTGCTTTCTCTTACGTTTTGTTATAAAAATGTCCCCCATTTGTTTGTTTTTGAGATATGTTCTCTCTTTCTCTCTTTGTGCTGCTGTTTGTTTTTTCTAGACAGTGTCTCACCATGTAAACCAGGCTGGACTTGAACTCACAGAGACCTGTCTACCTCTGCCTCCAGAGTCCTGGGATTAAAGGTGTGTGTCACTATGACTTGCTTGCTGTTGCTGGTTCTTTTTTTTTTTTTTTGAGACAGGGTCTCATACAGCCGAGGCTGGTCTCAAATTATCTCTCACTATGTAGACGAGGGTGACACTGAACTCCTGATTTTCTTGTCTCCACCTCCCAAGTGCTGAGATACCATCAAGCCAGTTTACATGCTGCTGGGGATAGAACCCAAGGCTCTTTGTATCCTACAAAAGCATCCTGCCAACTGGGCTATCTACCCAGCCCTAAAAATGCTGTTAACTCTGGGTCCAGCCAACACCATCCCAGTATTTCTCTAGTCCTTCTTGTGGAACTTTTAGGTTGCCTTTCCAGTCCTCATTTCTTGTATCTAGCTAGCACAGTAATGGCTCAGTAGCCCAGGCTGGTCTGGAACACAGGATCCCCCTGCCTCTATCTCTGGAGTCTTAGCCAGTAACCCACAATGTCCAGCTCAAAGAGCCCTTATACTTCAGAGAGCCCTTGGAGACCAGGGTTTTGGTTTAACATCCTCTATGGGTAAGATCTCCTGTACAAGGTGCACCTGTCCTCATGGGGTCGGTGGATTGACCTACTTAAGTGATAGCTTTTAGTTGCTCAGCTGGGCTGAGACCCTCAGACAGAATGCTCTCAACTCCTTCATACACCTTTGTGAATACCTTTCCAATCCTCTGTAATCATGCTCCTTAACAACCCACAAGCTCTGCCAGGAGACATCTGGGGCCTTCTGTGTGCCCCCTAAGTAGAGATGTCCTGCCCCACAAAAGGCAAAGTCCCCACTGTGTTTCCTTTTTTTTTTTTTTTTCTGTCTTCCTTTCTTCCTTCTGTTCTTCCTCCTTTCCCCAGAATCCGGGCTCTGCTGAGCATCCTGTAAGTGCTCAGTGGATAAAGATGCTTGCTGCCGAGCCTGCTCATCTCAGTTTCATCCCCAGGACCCACTGGCTGCAGGGGTGAAATGAGTCCTACAATTGTTGACTTTCACAATGTGCAGTGGCATATGCACACACCACACACACACACACACACACACACACACACACACACACACACAAATACGTAAATAAAATGTAATAAAAATTAACTCCCAGGGCTCGCATTCTCCAGCAACCCCCATCAACCCGAGGCAGGTAAGAGGACATCTAGGTGTGTGAGAAAAGTCGGGGTTACAGAGTAGGGGCTTTGGTCCAGACATCCCAGGGCTATCTAGCTTCCATAGTTGTCGAGTTCAAGAAAGGGGGGCACTGGAGGACACAAAGTGGCTGGATTGGTTGGTGGGCCAGAGGCACCGTGATCCCGCCCTACTGGTTGCCAAGGCCCAGCCTATCCCTGTCCAGGAGAATGGTGGCCTCCAAGAGCTTGAGAAGGAGCAGGTGCAAGAGCTTGAGTAGGGGACTGTGAGGGTCCTCAAGGGATTTCCCTACTAAGCATCTCTGTTTAAGTGTGTGACCGTTGAACAGAGCCACTGAAATAGGCCCCCTCCGAGGTGGTCTCAGGGAGACTGCACACGCATCTCACTCGGAGGCGCGCCTCTTCTTTCGCACCCCCTCGGCGCGCTCCCGGCGCTGGATCGTGAGAGCGCGCGCGCATCCTGGGCTCTCCCCGCCCGCGGCTGAGGGGCGGGGCAGCGGCCAGGCTCCCCAGGCACTGTCGCCTGTAGCCCCCTCCCCTTGCCTTTTCGCCGCTCCCCGCCACCGCTGCTCCGGCCCAGCCCCACCCCAGGCGACCCTGCGTGGAGCGGCTTGTGGCCAAAGGCGTAGGTGAGCGCGCCTTGTGAGCAGGTGGAGCGGGCGGATCGCTGGCTTAGGGGACCGGGCTGGGGGAGGGGTCGGGGCCGGGAAGCAGCTCTTTGTCTCTCGGAGCCCGTTCGCGGGCAACGAGGCTACTCTTTTTCTCCCTGCAGGTGCCTGGGGAACCTGGGGAAGGACTGGTTGAATCTCACTCAGTGTGCACTCGGAGGACCCTGAATCTGGAAGCCCTGTTTGGGGGACTGGTCATTTGGGTCTCCGAGAAGCGAGGGGTAGGGGCATGGATGTTGTTCTTGTAAGACGGCAGAGGCTCGGGTGTGGGTGGTGGTTGGGAAACACGAACGTCTCAGCTTTGGGGGATGGAGGTGGCAGTAGGACTTGAGGACAGCACTGAGCGGCCTGGTTGGTGATCGGTTGTGGGTGGTTGAAAGGAAAGCAAATTGAGGCTCTTGAAGCTGAGGTTTAGGCACCCATCGGTGGCTATCCTGGAGGATGCACAGGGAGGCGCCAGGATAGTTTAGGACCTGGGATGTTGATCCTTCTGTCTTCCTCATCAGGTGCGATATGGACAAGAGAGATAGGATCAAGGCAGGAGCAGGAGCCACCCCGCGGATGCCAGCTTCACGATCACTTGGCCTTCTGACCCCTAGGCCTCCTCCAGGATCCCCACGACCTCCTCCCCCTGTAACCACCGCTGCCCTTAGAGTGCTGGAAGCTAACGGGGCTATGGGGAGAAGGCCCCTGGTGGAGCGAGCCGCCATCGGCGGCGGCAAAGCGGCTCTTCCACAGACTCCTGTTCAAGGGGCACCAGCACGCAGCGCTGGGGCAGGTCCTCGAAGCCCAGGTACTCAGCTTCATTTGTGACTTCCATTTTCACACTGCTCACCTCCCCTCTTCCTTCTCAGATACTGCCCCCTTTTCAGAAATGCCATTGATTTTGTCTTCTCCCTGAAGCCTCCAGACCCCCAGCTTCTGGGAAAGGAGAAAGGGCCCCTGTGAAGATCTCTGGCCAGGGTTCTATTTCTAGCCCTGGGCGTGCCAGCAGTGGGATCACCAGGTACCATGCTAATTCCCTAACTCCTTAATTCCCCAAGCAAGGGTTAGTTTAGCAATCTGGTACCTTTTGCTACTACACAGGAATGGGCTGGGAAGGTGGCTCAGTGTGGTAAAGTGTTTGTTGCACATATACGAGGACCTGAGTTTGAAACGCTAGTGCCCATGTAAAAGCCTGTCTCAGCTCCACACCATTGTAACCTCAGTCCTGGGTGGGAATGGGAGGTGGGGAGGGCCGGTTCCTGGTGCTTGACAAGTGTCAAGCTGCAGCTTCCTTTCACCCAAAACTTCTGGGTGTGGTGGCACTCGATGTTAATAGCAGCCCTCAGAAGCCAGAAGCATATGGACCTCTGTGAGTTTGAGGCCAGCCTGGTCTACATAGTGATAATAAATAAAACAGAATGCAAAATGAGGCATAAAAACAATCCAGCTAGATGCCAATGTTCACCTCTGGTATCCACATGTGCATGCATGAGTGAGCACAACTGTACACACATGTGCACACACATACACAAAGATATTTCACATAAGTTAGCTCAGGAACACTTCCAGGTAATGGGTCAAATGGAGCAAAAGCCATCGGTTGGATCACAATGTGCAATTGGGAATACCAACAATGACTGGTACTCCTGTTCCCAGACCAGGCCCTGTTGTCCAGAAGGGACTCCAACCCCCAACTAAGGAACCTGTGGTCAGAGGTAAAGCACCAGAGACACCCAAAAGGAATACTCTGAGCTCTGGAACACGAAGAGGTATGCAACCTGGAGACAAGGTTTCTCAGTCTTTGAGGGCAATCAGTCTCGGGTACCCATGTTTCTTTTGTATTTTTGTTTCGTTTGTAGATCCCTTAGGGCCCACATCAGCAACCTCCTCTCCTGCCATCACTCGTCGTTCCAAGGCCCCAGCTACAGAGGTAGGAATTCCTCGATCAGTTCCCAGTGCCCGGCAGCGTCCCCCGACCACTGAGGCACCCAGGAAACCTGTGAGCAGTGCTGCAGAACCCAGTGCCACTGAGCTGAGCCCAGCCTTCAGGAGGCGCTCTGCCGCCGGTGGCAGCCTGCAGAAGCCGGCCTCTCGTTCCCTAAGCTCCAGTGCTACCCCTCAGCTCTCCCCAGCCCGCTCTGGGGTCTCTCTGCGTGTAACCCCTCGGGCTCCTGTGCACACCTCGCAGCTCAAGTCGAAAGGGCAGCAAGCTCTGCGCCCACCCCAGACCACAGTCCCGAGGAAGGACAGAGCCTCTGCACAACAGAGCATGTTTTCCACTTCATCTTTAGCTACGCCTACCGCTCCACCTGGAGCCACCACACTTCAGGCTTCCTCCACCCAGGTCCCAGAGGATCCACTGAAGGCCACGCTCCCTCCCTCTCCACCCGTCACCCCGCCTCTACCTGCTTCACTTCAACTCCAGGCACAGCCCTCTATCCAGGCCACAGCTGATTCACAGGCCATAAACTGCCCACCATCACCTCCCCAACTTTCTCTGCAGAACCTCCCTTCTCCACCAGCCACGCCCCCTTTGCAAGTCCCACCCACAAGTCTGGGTACTGAAGAGGCCTCTGACTCACCCCCACCAATGGCTGCAATCTCTCCATCGCTTTCACCCCTTACACAGAGTATGCCCTGCAACCAGGTTTCTTCAGCTTCGCTCCCTCAGGAGACTCTCTTGGCCACGCCTTTCTCACCTGCGCCTCTGCCTCTAGCCACGCCTCCTCCACAAGTCCTTCCTTCGCTGCCAGTTTGTCCGAAGAATCAGTCAGCTCCCCTCCTCGCACCCTGTCAGTCCACTCTGTCCACTCTAACCACGCCCCCTTCCCCGGCCAACTTTTCTGTCTCTCCTCCCCTTCCCCAGGCCACGCCCTCCAAGATAACCACGCCCCCTTCGCAAGACACTCTGCTTCTGGCCGTTTCTCCTTCAGTTTCTTCCTCTCCCCCCTCCTCACCACCTCTGCATGTCCCTCCCTCTTCCGTGGCCACGCCTCCTCTGAGGCTCCCACGGTCTCTGATTCTGCCCACTTCACAGGCCTCTTTGTTGACCCCGACACCCTCACCGGCTTCATCGCCCCAGCAGGCCACGCCTCCTCCTTTGGCCTCGTCCCCGCTGTCGGTCGCACTCTCTCTGGGCTCACCCCCTCTGCAGGCCTCGCCTTTTTTCCTGCCTACACCCCCCATGCAGGCACGCTCTCCACCCTCGCCTCCTTTGCAAGCGCCTTCTCTTGCTACATACCCTTTGCCTCTTCCCTCGTCCCCGACCTCGCCTCCTCTGCCAGCTCTTCTCTCCCCTCCTGCCTCACCTCCTCTGGAGGACCCTCTTTCTCCCTCACCCTCACCTCCGTCTCCCTTGGCAACTCCCCCACCAGAAGCCCCACCTTCGCTGGGTTCACCCACTCCTCTAAGTTCATCCCCTCCGCAGGCCCCATCTTCTCTGGCTTTGCCCTCTCTGCAGGCTCCCACCTCCCCATTGGCCACAGAGGCACCTCCCCTACAGGTTCCCCTCTTGGCTTTGCCTCCTCTGCAGACCCCGCCCTCTCCCCTGACCACGCCCCCTCGGCAGGCCTCTCCTGGCCTGACCTCGCCCCTTGTTCAGCCTCCTTCTCCTCCCGCCTCACCCCCATTGCAAGCCCCTCGTCGACCCCCGACCCCAGGTCCAGATGTCCCGATCTCAAGTCCACGGCTGACCCTGTCGCTGGCCCCTGCCCCGCCGCCGCCACCCTCGCGAAGCCCGTCCAGTACGCTTAGCGGCCCGGACCTGGCGGGCCACAGCAGCAGCGCCACGAGCACGCCAGAGGAGCTCCGTGGCTACGACAGCGGGCCCGAGGGCTGCGCCTCAGTGTCCCCGGCCGCGGACGCGGAGCTGGCTGCCTGCCACCCGGCCTCCTGGAGTCGAGGTCCTGCTCCACCGTTGGCAGTGCGAGGCGCTCCGGGTAAGGATTTCGGGCTCTAGGAGGAGCTTCCCAAGGAGTCGTCAAGCCCCATATCTGGTCTATTTTTTAATTTAAATTTTATATTTATTTTGTGTGTGTGTGTGTGTGTGTGTGTGTGCATGCGCATGTAAGTCAGAGGACAACCTGCAGTAGTATATTCTCTTTCCACTGTGTGAGTTACGGGGATGGAGCAAGGGTCGTCAGGCAGGCTGCAAGCGCCTTTACTCATCTTGCAACCTCTTTAAAAAAAACACCGATTTTTTAAAAATTTACATATGTGTATGTTTGTGTGTGGCTCTGGGTTACAGACGATTGTGAGCCACCGAACTTAGAACCGAACTCGGGTCTTTGAAAGAGTGCTTGTTCTTACAAAATGTTAAGGCTAGGTTGTCAACCTAGCTTTTAACGGCTGAGCCTCCTATCCGTCAAATCACGTTTATTTATTTATTTTGTATGTGTTTGCATCTCTTTGTGGGTATGCCCTCCTTTGGTGCATTTGTGGAAGTCAACCAACTTACAGAATTCAGTTCTTACCTTACCTGTGGGTTGAACTCAGGACTTCAGGCTGAACTATCTCTCTAGTCTTTTTTTTTTTTTTTTTTTTTTTAATTCTATGTGTACCGGTGCTTTACCTGAATGTGTGGTTGTGCACCATGTATGTGGTGTCATGGACGCCAGAAGAGTTTGTTAGACACCCGAAACTTGACTTACAGTTGTGAGCAGTCATGTGGGTGCAGAGTACTCGAACCTAGGTCTCCTGAAAGAGCAGCTAGAGTCCTTAACCACTGAATCATCTCTCCAGTTCCATTCTGGTCCATAATTTCCTTTTCACACCCTGAATTGCTTGAATATTTGTGCAGACTCATGTGTCACAGCGCTGATATGACAACTTATGGGAGTTGGTTCCTTCCCTCCTTCACTATGTAGGCTCAAGAGAGCAAACGCTGGTTGTCAGGCTTGGTGGCAAGTGCCCTTACCCATTGAGTCAATCTCGCTGGTCCTCACTTCTGCTCTTACAGGAGTTCCCCTGCCGTGGCCTCCCGCTGCCTGCCCTGGCTCCTCTGACGGCCTGTGCACCATCTATGAAACTGAAGGACCGGAGTCGGTGGCCCCTACCCCTGGATCCTTAGATGCGGATGCGGAACCAGAGCCGGAGCCGGAGCCGAGGCCGGGCTCTGGCGGTGGGAAGACTACTGCTGCAGCCGGCTCAGGAGCATCCTCACGAAGCCCAAAGTCGGCTCGCCTGGGTGAGCTGCCGCTAGGGGCGCTGCAGGCGAGCGTCGTGCAGCACCTGCTGAGCCGGACACTGTTGCTAGCTGCTGCAGAGGGTGCAGGTGCAGGCAGCGAAGGTGGTTCAGGGGGCGCAGGGGGTGGCAGTGTCCCGGGGGGATCTCGGGCTCCGCTCAGCGATGCCGAATTGGGCCGCTGGGCCGAATTGCTGTCTCCCCTGGACGAGTCACGTGCCAGTATCACTTCAGTCACCAGCTTCTCCCCAGACGATGTGGCCTCCCCACAGGGTGATTGGACTGTAGTGGAAGTAGAGACTTTTCATTGAGCCAGACCCCAGCTCTGCACACCATACACATACGGCTTTAGAATCCACCCCTCTGGTTACACCTCTTTGTCTTAGTCTCCACTCCCACTTCCCTAGACAACTGGATGGATTGTTTTGTTTTGTTTGTTTACCTCTGTCTCTGGGCCTCAATCTTTGTTTACCTCTGTCTTTGGGCCCAGGCTATGTCCTTATCCTTCCTTGGCTTTAGCTTGGAATGTACCCGCACCCAGGCCTAGGCCTTCCATTTGAGCCTCTCTTTAGCCTAAGCCATTGTCCTTCTCTAAGGAGCCACACCACACCCTGTGTTCAGTGGATGAATAGCCTCTCATACCAACAGCCTCATTGGCAGTAAAACCAGAGATGCTGGTGCCTGTGAGCCATGGTTATAGGAGCTGAGAAAGGACCACACTGCTTGAAGGACCAGGCTACACCAAGCTGTTTGGTATGCCTGACTGAGTTGGAGTTCTGGCTGAACTGTGTGATTTTTTTTTTTTTTTTTTTTCAGTAAGGAGGCTGGTGAGACAGAGCCTACAATGGCTTGTGATCTTTTGGGTCTCACTTCTAATAAAATCATTAGGCTCAGGAAGGCCTTGTGGATGGGCTGTCGGCCAGACTGGGGAGCCACCAAAGCTCTTCTTACCCTGGGTACCCGTTGCTATAGCCCCTTTGCCCTGTGTGTGCCCTTCTCTTTCATGCTTGAGAGTTGGGCCTGGAGGATGAACTTGAGTGGAGAGGAATGGTGAATTCTTGACTTCAGCTGATACTTCCTCTTTCTGATGGGCAGTGTCAAGCTGGAAAATGTAGAAATCGCCTGAAAGGCAGGCTGCTTGGCATGCCTCTGGGAGTTTAGCTTGCTTGGGCTGAGATGGAAAACACCTACCCATTGTGGGTGGCATTGCTCCCTGGCTGGGGTCCTGGACTGTGTAAGCCAAGAGCTGAGTAGCAGTGTGCATTCACTGCTCTTTGCGACTGGCTGCTTCCAGCTCCTGTTGCCTGGACTTCCCCACAGGGATAGACTGTACCCTGAACTGTGAGCCACAATAAACCTTTCTCCCTTCAGTTCCTTTTGTCAAGGTATTTTTATCAGTTAAAGGAAAATAAATGGAGATAGTCTCCCTCTCTTTTCACCAAGAGGCAGTAACTCTCCCAGGCTTGCAGAAAGAACTTGTACACATGTAGGACTGGAGTGGACTGGCCTGGCTGTACCTGGAAGTGGGGGTGCAGAAGACCCAGGGGCTGACACCATGCCACTCTATGTATTGCACTCACAGGGGCATCATTGCCTTGTCTCTTATGCCAGATGATCTCATGAATTCTCAGTTACTGTCTTCATTTAAGTCTGCCAATCAGAATTGCTTTCTACCTCCCAGCCATCAACCTGTGCCTGGAGGCCCTAACCTCAGGCAAGGCTCTCTCTTTCCAAGTGCCCCTGCATGACATTCCCCCTTGAATGTTATTGTTCAAGGATCTCCTGCTTGGCACTAACAGTATGGGAGTCAAAATGGCGGTACCCCTGTGTTGAGCCCCCTTACCTTACCCTGTAGTCAGGTACTTGTCAGGCACAGACAACTAAGTTCTCTGTCCTCATCCTGAAGCAGTCACCTCCTAGCTTACAGTCCAAAGAGAAAAGGGCCCCATCTCAGAGGGCCACTGCTATCTCTGTTGTTGGGGGTAGGTAGGGCATGTGCTGGACTCCAACATTCAGATTTGTGGCAAGCCAGAGATTTCTTCTCTAGCTGAGCCCTGGAGGGGAACCCCAGTTATCCTTGTTCCCAGATGTCAAGAAAAGTCTAAAAGAAAAAAGATGACCTCTTCCCTCAAAGACAGGGGTTTTCTGTATAGTTCTGGCTAGCCTAGGACTTGCTCTGTAGACTAGGTTGGCTTGGAACTCACTTGGTAGACCAGGCTGATTGGAACTCACTTGGTAGACCAGGATGGTTTGGAACTCAGATCTGCCTGCCTCTGCCTTCCAGTGCTGGGATTAAACATGCCACCATGCCCGGCAAAAATCTGACTCAACGCTGGGCAGCTAGAACCTCAAGGCCAACTTCTCATTGCCAGGCCCCAGATCAGGGAGCCAGCTTGGAGACAGGAGTGTGTGGAGGATTAGTGACCCCACGGGAGTAGTAGGCACAGTGAGAGATGAACATCAGGGTTAGATCTGTGGGACTGGAATGAATGGGAACATTTGTAGGGACTCAACTAGGAATCAGGGTTGTGTCCAGTTGCTCAGTGCCATTGGGTAGTGAAGAGTTGTCTTTTAGTGCCATTAGCTATAATTACTCCTCCACCATGGGCTGGAGCTAATCCTGGGTACTCTTTTTCCAGACAACCCTCCAATAAAATGTCCCCATTTCCTGACTCAGTTTGTCATTTGATATACTGCCTGGTTACTGATCCTCAGTAGGAGATTTCCCACTCAATAGACTCTCTTCTCAGCTTCCTCCATGGGCCCACCTGCCCTTAGTTCAAGCCCAAACTCATCCTGACAGGAACAGTCACACACCTTCTTCCTGGTCTCACCACACTCACACAAGATCTGTTTCTTCTTCCAGGATATTCTGGCGCTTCACCAATAACCCCTCCTCTCCCCTCAGTCCCCATGGCATCTGGCCTTTGTGCTCTTGGCCTCAGAGAAACCTGTCACACTGCCTCCTCCAGGGAGTCATTTTGATTTTTCTGCTCAGGTTGTCTACTTTGGCATTACATTAATGACAGTTCACCCCAACCCCTCAGCACCCACCTCCATGACAGCAGAGACTTCATAGAGACAAGGACAAGGTAGAATACTCCATGAGTCTCCACTGAATGGAAATCACTGGGCCCAGCTCTTCCTGAAGTTGGCCATTTGGATGAGGCCAGGCTCAAACCCTGTCTCCATCCCTGTGGCCTTTCTCACAGAGACTAGCCACTGCATTCATCTTTGAACTTCCAGAGCACAAGGATGGGGTTCAGCACCTTCTTGCTGTGATCCTCCCAGCTCGTTGCCTTGCTCCACTAAACAGCCATTGTGACTGTGTAAATACACTTTATTTTTCATCTTTCCTGCCTGGGAGACATGGAGTGTGAACAGGCAGTGTGCAAAATGGTGGTGGGCAGTGTGGAGGGGCACATGAGGAGCACGTAAGAGGCCTCCTCAGGGGTACCCTGCCCCAGCCCCCAGGCTTTTTAATACTTAAAGAGTGGGCCACCAGGAATGGAGACTGAGCTGGGGGCCACCCAGGAAGCACCCAGGGATTGCTTGGGATGCCACTCTACCTGATGCTCTAGGAGCACTGAGAGGGGGTCAGTCCCCAAGGTCCCAAGATGCAGGGGGCAAGGGATAAAGGAGCCTGGGAGCATCGATGGACTTTGGCACCATTCTCAACTCTGACTAGTCAGAGATCACGAAACACTTCAAGAAGATAAGGGAGGTAACTCTGACTGGGACACTCTGGCCAGAAGTGGGGGTAGGGACAGGAACAAAGGGACTGAGGTTGAGAACTCCTAAGGAAGGGAGTTCTCTTCCACAGCAAGCCAACACGTGTGATCCCCAGAGGAGGATGGGAGCTCTGGGGGAAGGGTCTCTTCTTTGCAGCTTCTGCAGCTCTAGAGAGTGGGGAGACACTGCCCAGGCCTGAGCTGGTTCCCACTGACTATTCACACCCCAGGTGACCCTGCACATGGCATGGGGGGGACTTTGGTTTCTGCTGCAGGGGCTGTGATGCCCGCACCAGGCAGAAAAGCCCAGCCTGGCCATCTGACCCTGGTGGCAAGGGGTTGGCTGTTCAAAATCACTGTGTCCAGAGAGCCTGTCCTGGGGTGCTAATAACCAGTCCAAGTTGCTTCTCCTTCCTCAGACCTACTGCAGCTCCTGGGCCCCACCCAGCAGGGCCACCCTTGTCCCAAAGGGAAGCTGACTATGAGGAGGAAGCTTCCTGCTTATCAAGTCCTGGGACCTCTGCACTTTCGGTCCTTGTCCATATTAGGAGAGCAACATCCTCCAGGTAACTGGCCCAGGCACCCCTTGAATTCAGGAGGGTCTGGGCTATATGGACTAAAACGGGTAAACACTGCTGTGTAGGACCGGCCTGCCAGTAGGCCCTGCCCTCTGCGCTGCCTCCTCCACCTCGGTAGGTGGGAGCCTCGGTGGCACAGACGACTTTTTTAGTACTTCGAAGCAGCAAGGTCAGTGACTGCTGCCCCCTCTTGGCAAGCGGTGGTTGCAGCCTCCAGGCTCCCAGAGAGTGGGCCCCCAGCCTCAGTTGTCCAGGCCTTGGTTGCTATAAGGCGTGGCCAGCTCGTCTGCGTCGCTGTCTGAGCTTCCTTCACTGTCTTTGGCTGGCCTTTCCAGACGACGGAAGAAGCGTGCGTCCCGGGGTGACAGAGGGTAGAGTGGGTCCTGCAGGGCTGCGCCCACGCCCACACCCACGCCCAGCAGCTCTTCATCAGAAGATGGTAGGGAGTCCTCGTCCAGGTGCCGGGTCAGGCTAAGCCCATCGAAAGCCAGCGGGTCCTCGAAGGTTGGTGGGCCTTTCAGCAGCCGCACCTGGGGTGCGCGGGGAGGAGGTAGGGGGCACCCGCGCATTGGAAAGACTGGTGTACCCACACAAAAGCCTGGCCATCAGGCGCCCTCCTCCCTTGCCCTCTTAGCTTCATGCTTCATCCGGGTCCCTGCACCAGAGTCTGGCCTGTCGCCAACATCCCATGCTCTCACCTCGGCCTTCAGCTCCTCGATCTGATCCTTCAGCTCACGTATGTACTGTGAGGAATCCGAGTGGTTCAGCTGGCCCTGGATGCGGCCTTCCTCCCTCTGCCGGTAAGGCCGGAGTACTGGCAGTCAGAGAGCATGGCCAGTCCAGGGGGGCTACCCTCCTCCCAGCTCCTTCAGCTCACCTGGATCTCCAGTTCTGCGATGCGCTGCCTCATCTCCGCCACTGCGGCCATGCTATCAGCCTCCCGAAGGCGCACCGCCATCACTTCCTCCTTGCTCTGAAACGGGGGACGTTGGGTTAAGGAGATGGCAAGGTCGCAGGTGGGGTCGTGGGATCCGGGCAGGGGCCGCACCTTGCACTCAGCCTCGGCCTGCTTGCGGCGGCTTTCGCTGAGCTGAGTCTGGAGTCCCTTGTTCTGCGCCGCTAGGTACTGCAGCTTCTCCTGCAGAGCCGCACGTTCCGCCTCCACGCGGTTCAGCAGGTTGCGGTGGATGTTGTCCTGGAAAGGAGGGCCAGAGGGCACAGCAGCAGGAAGGGGTCGTCACGATTTGCTCAAGGGGTCCGCTGTGGGGGGGCCCCTGTCCCCCGAGTAGGCATGGTCTACCTGAGTCTCCAATTCCACCACGCGCTGCCGCCATTCGCGGCCATCGGCCAGGGCCTGTGCCTCGCGCAAACGCACAGTCATGAGCTCGTCCTGCAGCTCGCCCAGGACCAGCTTCCGCGGGGACTCCTTCCAGCGGCCACCGCGGGAAAGATGGGCCTAGAACGGAGGGTGGAAAGGTTCTAGAGCCCAGCCTTGTTCTCGGATGAACCCCGAGATACGCCCCACCAGCTGCTCCAGGCGCAGCCTGCTGGGGGCACCTTCACCACCCGGCCTCACCTGCCAGGTGTCCGAGAGTTCCTGCAGCTGCAACTTCAACTCCCGCGCGGAGGCTACAGCTTCGCCCTCCCGCACCTTGAGCGCCTTAAGCTCCTCTTGGAGCCTGGCCACATTGTTCTCATCTGGCAGTGAGCTATTTCTCTGCAGGGAGACAGGAAGTGAGGAACCTGGAAAGCTGCTGTAACTCCATGCCTAAGCCGCAGGACCCATGCATACCTTAGGTCTTTCCCAGGATCTTTTTCTGCCTAAAGCAGCTGATGGAAAGGAGCAGGGACTGGGACTAGGCCTAGGGGAAGAGGACCCTCGTGTGTAATTCTAGCCAAGGTTCATTATCTGCAAAATCAGCATCTACTTTCTCTCAAGTCTGTCCTTGGAAACCTTAAACTGTGAGACCTCCTGTAAATATTACTACTAATTATATAATGCACTCTGGGGCAGCTAGGGTGAGTGCAGGTCTGCTCTTAGCTCCAATATTCAACCTTT